CTCCGTCATCCACTTCGCTCGCGCGACCACCCGATGGGCGTCCCTGCCGCTCTACTCTCAATGGCCGAACAAGGACGGCTAGCGGCGGGGAATGCCACCTTTACGTTCAGTTGCCGAATAGTTGATTTATGTATCAAGTGCGGTGTTCCAGTATATATCGAGAACCCAGCCATGTCCCAGCTGTGGTCTGCGCCCCGCATGCTACAGCTGTGCCAGAAACCTATGCATCAGTCAATTGTCTTTCACATGTGTCAATATGGCACTCGATGGATGAAACCCACTCGTATCTCTGCCTGGCTCTCTCCCTCTCTTCTCTCTCTCTCTCTCTCTCTCTCCAGAAGAAATGCAATTGTCACCGCGGCCTGTGTAGTCGGACCCAGAAGCCACACATTGTCTTGACTGGGAAGGCTCCTGGCGGCAAGAACTGGACCGCCTTAGCAGCCTCATATCCGCCGAGATTGGCTCAGTCCGTTGCAAAACTAATGATTAATGGGTCAATGCGAATCGCTATTCGTCGTTTGTGGGCCCTCGCCTCCTGGTCTCGATGTTTTACCTCTTGGGGGCTTTCGGCGACCACTGTGTTGCGTTTTAGTTTGACTTTTTGGTTCGGCCTTGGTGGCCCAGTCACTCCTGCGGGATTCGGGGGATCTCCTATGCTGTCATCTGGCCTGTGATCCCGTGTCTCGCCCTAGGCCTTGGGGCCTGGGATGGATGGCTGATGTCGCTTGCGGTCGGAGTTCTCATAAAATTGTCTGGCATCCATCGTCCGCCTGGTTGTGCTGGTTGATCTTAGATCTGTAAGCACAGGAGGGTCTGGCCGCAAGGATGCCGCATGTGAAAATTCACAGTCCCGTGTGCTATCCGTGGCACGCGGCTCAAACTCTCCCTCCCGCCCTCCCTGTCGCTTGCATCCTTTGTGCTGCACTGTCTGGGGATCTCCTATGCTGTCATCTGGCCTGTGATCCCGTGTCTCGCCCTGGGCCTTGGGGCCCGGGATGGATGGCTGATGTCGCCTGCGGTCGGAGTTCTCATAAAATTGCCTGGCATCAATCGTCCGCCTGGTTGTGCTATACATATATATGTATGTATATAGGTGTGTGTGTATATATCTATATATATATGTATATATATAAAAATATTATCCGTGGAGGGGAGCGACGCGCCATCAGCTCGCAGGACATAGCGTGTCGCCGGGGCCGTCGCCAGACACACTAAGCGACAGTTCCGGACTGCAAGTGTCCCCTCCTGCCGACTACCACGGCGGAGGAGGAGGAGGAGGAGGAGGAGGAGGAGGAGGAGGAGGAGGAGGAGGGGGAAGAGGAGGAGGAGGAGGAGGAGGAGGAGGAGGAGGGGGGGGAAGAGGAGGAGGAGGAGGAGGAGGAGGAGGAGGAGGAGGAGGACAAAGAGGAGGACAAAAACGAGGAACAAGAGGAGGAAGAGGGAGGAGGCGGAGTGAGGATGAGGCCCCCGATCATCCTTGCAGTGCACCACGTCCTGGTGCCTGAGGCCGCTTGCCCGTGCCCGCCCGGCCGCCTCTCGTGGTCGCGGCGCTGGCTGCTGCTGCCGCCGCCGCTGGATGCCGCCGAGGGCCTCCAACGGGCCCTGGAGCATCCTTTTTTGTTGTTGTTGTTTCTTTGGTGGTTTCGAGCGGGCCGGGCCCCGGGGCCGAAAAACAAAGACTCAGTACTACAAAAAACCATCCCCGTCTGGAGTCGTCGGGGGCCCCAGTCCGATTCGCTCCAGTTCGGTCTGGTTCGGTCCCGTTCGGGATGAAGGTTTGCAAGGAGTTCGACAGGCTCGCGCGGCCGACGCGCGTGAGTGGCCCGCGTGGACTAGTTTGACCTGGGTCGTGCTTCTCAGCGCGCGCGCAAGGGCGTTCGCATGATTTTTGACATGCGGCGCGAGAGGCCCTTGCGGTCGAAGTTGATGAACATCCTGAAGAACCTGTGAACTTCTCTAGAAGTAGAACAAAAAACGCTGACCCTATTTGAAAACAAATGTTGCCACACCTGGTGTTATTGCGCATGTTCCTGGGTTAGTCGATTCGGAAGTTCTTGCGAAACCTCAGGTTTGAATGATTTCGACATGGTCGCGCGACGACGCGCGCGCGTGCACTTCGCCCCGTTTTCTGGCAGGGGATTCGCGCCCCAGCGCGCGAGCGAGGGCGTCCGAATGATTTCGACATGCGCGCGCGAGGCACAGTTACTTGGTATAATGTGATGAGCATGCCGAGACGCGTTTGCTATATTGACGATTTCGAAAAAAAAACGTATTTTTTTGGTTTTGTGTTTGAAAACTGCTGTCGCAACGCCGTGTTTTGTCGGTCAAGATGTTTTCGGGGCAGTTGATGTTTGAAAGTTTCGCGGTACCGAGGGTGTTTGAAGGATCCCGGCATGCGCGCGCGACGACGCGCGCGCGTGCACTTCGTCCAATTTGTTGCATCGGGTTCTTGACAATCGATGGTGATAAACGAGTGCGCGCGCGTCTTTTTTTGCATGGGATGAAGTGGGGTGGTTGGGTGAGGGTGGGGTGGGTGGGGGGTGGGTGGGTCGGTGGGTGGTTGGGGTGGAGGGGGGGACTGCCTGGGGTGGTGCGAATTGTATGTTTGATGGGCGACGGGGCAAAATCGCATGTGCATTACAATGCAAAGCGGCGCGTCATGAAGTTGGGGGGGTGATCCTAATGCTCCTGAAACCTGCGTGGTGCAATACATGTGGTGCTCTCTATGTTGCACAATGCATGTTGTGCAACATACGTGGTACAGGAAAAGCTGTTCAATCTGTGGGGCGGTGTCTGTAGAACAACCAAGATGTTGCAACGAATGTGGTTCAATCTATGTGGTGCGCAATATTTGTTGCGCAAACGACGTGGTGCAGCCTATGCGGTTCAATTCGTCCTATCGAACTTGGATTTGTCAGCTCCATTGTTCGAGCAACTGGCCCACCCATTCACCCGCATGTTTGGTTTGCAAAACCCATGCGGCCACGATTGCGATGACTGTTTGACGCTGCGTGGCGCATCGCCGCGGCCGCGCAGCCTCGCGCGCAGGGCGGCCAGCTAGCCTGGCGCGACCGACGCGGCCGCTGTGACGCTGCCCGCTGGGGACGCCCCAGCGCGTCCCGCAGGCCGCGTTGGCGCGGGCATTTCAGTGTGATTCGGCGATTGTGGCGGGCGCAGTATCATGGCGACGCCGATAACGGTGGACATGTTAATGAATGTCGCGATGATTGTAGCGATGATGGCGCTGACGACGGCAAAGCCAATGACAGCGCCGATGCTGGTCACGCCGATGACGATGATGGCGTCCATGTGTCCGTTATGAAAGGTTCGGGACGGATTTCGACATGCGCGCGCGGCCGACAGGCGCCAGTGGCCCGCATGTTATCATTTGACAGGGACCGTGCACCCCCAGCACGCGTGCAAGGGACTCCGGATGATTTCGACACTCGCGCGCACAAGGCCCGCGGGGCTTCATTTGACGAAAATGTTGGCTGCCAGTCATTTTCATTTTAAAACATGAAGAAAATTCGCCAGAGCGCACGCAGCAGTTCGATACCGCAAACAAATCAAGATGTAATACGATTTTTCCAATTCCGAAATTTCGATCATGAACCCTTACCAAAGCCACGGTTGTCGAAGGATTCCGATTTGCGTTTGCGACGGCGTGCGCGTTTCTTTGTTGCTGAATATCGCCCCCCCTTGTGAAGGGTTCTCGGACCGGGATGGTTTTTGATAGACGGGTGCACGCGCATTGTAGTGTTTGATGTGGGGTGACGTGGGCGGTACCGGCCCTCTTGGGATGGTCTGCGTTCGTGTGCAGAACGTACGATGGGGCATAACAGTGTGTAAGCTGCAGTGTCCCAGGGGGGGCGCTAGGTCCGGCCTCGGGAGGGTGTTCGATTTTTTTTCTTAGAGAGGAGAATCCAGGGCTGGACCTAAACGATGTTTTGCTGGACTTCGGCTGTGTTTTGTTTTTTGTTTTGGCAGCCTCCTCCTCATCCTCCTCCTTCTCTTCCTCCTCCTCCTCCTTCTCTTCCTCCTCCTCCTCTTCCCTTCTTCCTCCTACTCCTCCTGCTCTTCATCCCTGTCCCCTCCCTTCTGTGCTGTGCCGTGCACAGGGATGGCAGGCAATGCCAGGCAGTGCCAAGCAGTGCAGCGCGAAGCAATGCAGAGCCAGGCCAAGGAGTGCAACGCAAAGCACGTCAATGTATATCAGTGCAACGCAATGCGACGCAAAGCAGTGCAAAGCAATGCGTTGCAATGCAGAGCACTGCAGAACAACACAAAGTATCGCACAGCAGTGCAACGCACTGCAGAACAGTGCAACACCTGGCATGTCATGGTCGAGCATGGTGTAGCAATGCGACACAATGCAAAGCAATGTAAAGCAATGCAGAGCAATTCAAATCTATGCAGCGCAATGCAACGCATGCAAAGCGATGCAAAGCGATGCAAAGCGATGCAAGGCACTGCACATCAATGCAACAACAATGCGCAGCTTTGCAGACCAATGTAAAACACGGCGTAGCAATTCAAAGCAAAGCAAAGCAACGCAATACAGTGCAAGGCACGGCATAGCACGGCATAGCAATGCGAAGCAAACCAGGCCGTGACGACGGGCGGCGACGAGGCGGCGAGGCGGCCGCGACGGCGACGACATAGCCGCCAGACCGACCTCCCGGCAAGTTGCGTATTCGAGAAGTGGGAGCCCGAACGTGCAAGCGTTGTTTGGGGAAGTAGAGAGAGAGAGAGAGAGAGAGAAAGAGAGAGAGAGAGATAGACAGAGAGAGGGAGGGAAAGAGAGAGAGAGAGAGCAAGAGAGAGACAGGGATAGATAGTGAGAGTGAGGCGAGACATTAGGAGGAGAGGAGGAGAAAGGGTGAGCACGAGACGCCAGGAGAAGTGGGGCGGGAGGTGAGGCAACATGTGGTCTATGGACACGACACAACAAGGTTGAGTTTTTCTCCACGGCATCGGATGTCCATTCGTCGCTCGGCGTCTGAGCTGGTTCGGCCGCCGAGCGGGTACAGGACCGAGCTTGCACGGTCCGCGACCATCCTGGCTCAAGCTGTTTTTGTCAGGCGCCAGGCCCACTGTTTGGCTCACTGGCTCGTTTCTCCCGACAGCCGCTGTCGACCCCGACGGCTCCACTCGCGATGCGGCTCCGTGCCGTCGTTGCGGCCCTCTCACTCGTGGGCGCAGCTGCGGTGCTGGAGGGCGCGAGCGGCGGCGGCTGCGCAGCCGACGCGGCAGAGGAGGAGGCGGCCTTGCTGCAGACGAGGGCGGGCGACCTCGGTGGGCGGTCAGCGGCGGCGAGTCCCTCGCGGTCGACGAATTCGACGGCGCCAGCTCCAACGACGAATTCGACGACGCAGGCTCCACCGCGTCGAATCCGCCCCGTCCCGGACGACACGGACGTGTGGTGGACAGAGAGCACGACGCCGGGCGGCGCGGACGAAACATCGACGAGCAGCGCGGGGAGGAACCAGGAGGCGTACGAGAACTGCCTGCAGACGTGCATGTACAGCTGCCAGTCGCTCGCGTGCATCGACGTCAACGCGGGTGTCCCAGAGGACCTGTGCGACGACGGGGAGTGCAAGGAAAACGGGGAGTGCGTCGAGGCGACCTGCCTCAGGTGAGCGCTTCCGGCCGAGGGGGAGGAGGAGGAGGAGGAGGAGGAGGAGGAGGAGGAGGAGGAGGAGGACGGGGCGGAGGAGGCGGTTGAGGAGGATGATGATGAGAAGGAGGAGGAGGAGGCGGAGGAGGAGTAAGAGGAGGAGTGAGAGGAGGAGTGAGAGGAGAATGATGATGATGATGATGATGATGAAAATGATGATGATGAAGATGAAGATGAAGATGATGATGATGATGATGATGATGATGATGATGATGATGATGATGATGATGAGGATGATGATGATGAGGATGAGGATGAGGATGAGGATGATGAGGATGATGATGAGGATGATGATGATGAGGATGATGATGATGATGATGATGATGAAGATGATGAGGATGAGGATGATGATGATGATGATGATGATGATGATGCTGATGATGATGATGATGATGATGATGATGATGATGATGATGATGATGATGATGATGATGATGATGATGATGATGATGATGATGATGATGATGATGATGATGATGATGATGATGATGATGATGATGATGATGCTGATGATGATGATGATGATGATGATGATGATGATGATGATGATGAGAAGGAGGAGGAGGAGGAGGAGGAGGAAGAGGAGGACGGAGTAGGAGGAGGCGGAGGAGGAGGAGGAGGTAAGAGGAGGAGGAGGAGGAGGAGGGAGGAGGAGGAGGAGGAGGACGAGGAGGAGGAGGAGGAGGAGGAGGAGGAGGCGGAGGAGCAAGAGAGGAGGAGGAGGAGGAGAGGAGGGAGGAGGAGGAGGAGGAGGAGGAGGTAGGAGGGAGGGAGTGAGCGGCCTCCCACGGCCTCCGAAAAACGGCCGCCGAGGATGGCGCCCGAGGGAGGGCCGTCGGAGGCCGTCGAGAAAGCCGCCAGAGTCCGGCGCGCAGCGGTGCCCGCCAGCGCGGCTCGGGGGCCGGGCACGGCGCTTGCCCCCGTGTTCGGGAGCCTCGAGACGGGGGTCAGTGCAAACGGGAGTCAGCCAGGGCGCCCGATCTTGCAGGATCCTGCAGGGCCAGGATCGCATTGACCCAAGTTGGGGTGCAGGATTCTGGAGGATCTTGCAGGGTCCTTCGCATTGATCCGGGTTTGGGTGCAGGATCTTGCAGGATCTGCAGGATTTTGCAAGGCCTGAACGGAAGCTGGAAAGAGTGACTGGGGCCAGCCCTTCCAGTCTGATTCCAGCCCTGGCCAGTTTCCCTTGTTATCTTTTTTCCAGCCTTGGCGACCGCATCCCTACTGTTTCGGGTTCGCTTCACCCTCAAGCAGTGGCGAAGCTTCCTGATTCGCCTACAGTCCCACCAAAGAAAGTACCAAGAACCTTATTATGTGGTCTGCACGAGATGTTCTTAGATCATCTCTTGCTGGGGCTTTGCTGTTTTAGCACATCAGGGTTATGTTCTAAGAACATTGTTTCTGTTCTTATTTGGGGTTCGAAGAAAATGTCGTGGTAGGCCAACGGGAATGCCAGGATGGTCGGTCCCTGGTCAATTCTTGGGGCTCCCAAGTGGGGGTCCGAGTACATGGAAGCTGGAAGAAGTGTCTGGGGCCAGCCTCTCCACTCTTTTCCAGCCCTAGCCAGGTTCCCTTTTTTTGTTTCCAGCCCTGGCGACCGCATCGCTGCTGGTTTCGGGCTCGCTTAACCCTCGTGCCAGTGTTTCCAGCCCTGGCCACTTCCCAGAGATCTTTGTCGTGTTTTTGTTCTATACGGGGTCCCCAGAAGTCTCGACCCATTCCCCAGGACCGGCTTTTCATCCTGAGTCGTTCTTTGATGTTCCCGAGGCCCGGCGAGGGCCGCTAGGGGCCGACATTTGCGAAAAAAAATCCGTCTTGATTTTTTTCAATCGATTAGATCTTTGGGTTTCACTTTCACTGATTTTCCGACTTCCACTTTGTCTTCCAGCTTCCTTTTAGAGGGTGCCGGAGGATCGCGCCGCAGCACGCCGACGCATCGCCCATGCGGCTCGGTGTGGAGCCCGGCTGTCTCCGCGCCGAGGCATCGCCGACGCATCGCCGACGCATCGGCGATAGTCCTCCGACCCGAGGTGCTCTAGGCTTCCTAGATGGGGTCAGAGTAGATGTGGTCGGAAGATCGCGCCGCATCGCAGATGCATCGGCGATGCGGCTCGATGTGCGGCCCGATTTGCTTCATGTCGACGCCGCCGATTTATCGCCGACGTCGACGATGCATCGCCGATGCATCACCGATGCATCGCCGATGCATCGCCGATGTATCGGCGATGCGTTGTGATCCTCCGACCCCATATGCTCCGACCCCATCTAGGAGGCCTCTAGGTGCTCGGACCCCTTGTTGGATTATAACTCGGGCATGTTCATCTACAGGGGAAATCATATTCAAGAATAGTCCAAGAACAGTCTTGACACGATCTCTTGTGCTCTCTGGATCATTTTTGAGCACTTTTGTTTTGATATTTTTAATTGTTACTCCAGGATCCACCTGTATGAGGACATGCTCGACCTGAAATGTAGGAGGCCTCCAGTGTTCCCGCTCCCGCTCAGAGGCTGCCAGAAGGGCCCCAGGCCCACGCGTGTCCCCCCGGCCAGCTGCTCACGCCATGCCGCAGAGCCCCGGGCCGGCAGGGACGACTGTTCGTGCTCTTGTGGCTATTTTCGTATATTGTTTTGACAATTTTTAGTTTGTCTTCCAAAATCCGCCTGTAGGACATGCCCGACCTAAGGGTATGGTTCGGAATTCGTCGAACACGTGGCGAAATCCGAGCCCTACCCCCGCCTCCCCTCTATTCAGGAGAGTCAGAGGACGGTAGGGGTCGAGTTCGAATACCGCCACCTACAACTCCCCATTCGTGCCTCCCGTCTTCGCGCGGGACTCGCTCCGCATCGCCAGACGGCGCCGGGACTGAGAACGTCAGACGCCGCATCGCGCGACATCGCCGATGCATCGGTGATGTGCTGCGATCCTCCAGCCCCATTGGGGATGCCTTCAACGTAGGCCTCCCTGGACACCTCGGCGGTCGGACACGGCAGTGGGGGGGAGAGCATACAGTCAACCCGCGTCGCAAGGATGAGCGACTTTCCACGGTCACCCTGTTACCCTTGCATCCTTCCCCTTCGGCCCATCCTCGGCCGCTTTCGCTGGCCGCGCCCCGCCCGCCACGCCGGGTGCCGACATGACCTTCCGAGGCCTCGCATCCTCATCGTGCGTCCTGACTGTACGGGAGGACTGTGCCCGGGGGGGATCGGAGGGATGCGCATCTCCCCAGCACACTCCCTCTGCGGCCGCGGCGGCAGCCTCGCCGCCCCTGTGGGGGGCCCTCTGGGGCCGCACTGCCTGTAGGCCGTCGACCTCCCTCCGCTTTCGTGTTAAGTCGGGCATGTCCCTCTACGGGTAGAATATTCAAAAAGAGTCTGAAAATAATCAGGGGGCGATTTGCGCGATTATTTTCTGACAATGTTTTGAATACTTTTTGAACTATTTAAGTTTTTCCTCCCGAACTCTGCCTGTAGGCGGACATACCCGACCTAACCCTCGTACCCGAATGGGGCCGGGCCCTCTCCGGCGGCGGCGCATTTTCTTTCCACGGCGTGGCCGGTATATTCCAGGCCTCCCAGATGGGGTTCGAGCACGGTCGGACCGAGGTATAAGATCGAGATCAGCTCGGGGATGGTACCCTAGTGTTCTTCGCGCTTGTTGGATGTTCTTGCTCATCCTGGGGGAGGGTCTGCCCTCGAGTTTTCTTCCGTTTGGCCAGCCGAGGGTCTCTGGTTTTTGAGGGATGTTTTTCTGTCCGTGGCCCTGCTGTAGAGGGGGTCGGAGCATCGAGCCGCATCGCCTGCGCATCGGCGATCCGGCTCGATGTGGAGCCCGATCTTCTCCACGTCGACGTCGCTGGTGCATCGCAAACGTCGCGGACGCATCGACGATGCATCGGCGATGTATCGGCGTGCATCGGCGATGCGGCCGGATCCTCCGACCCCATATATTCGGACCCCCATTCATGTTGTATTCTATTCCTGGGGACCAGCTTTTTATCTCGAGCCGTGTTTTGACGGTCCGAGGAGCCGGAAACGGCTCCCAGCAGCGCGATCGAGAACCGGCCGTGGCGATCAGTTGGCGTCGTCTGGACTTGATCGAGGGCGGCCAAGAGGGATCTGATGACCAGGGGGGCGTGGATATCATGGCCGGGGCCCCATGATATCTCCCCCTGATTCCGTGCCTTCCTCTTCTTGTTCCAACATGTTCCTTGGCCCCCCCCTGGGCCGCGCACGTGCCTCGCGACACGATTTGCGACCCCCCCTCCTTGGACGCCCCCCCCGGCTACCCTGAATTCCGACGCTGCGAACCTCGTGCAAACATCACGACCGAAGCCTTCGGCCCAATTTTTCTGCTGCATTTTTTTCGAGTCGGCTCGATGTGTGATGGTCCAAGCAGGGCCCGACGCCCGGCGAAGGCGCCCGCTGTGAGACAAGTGCAACGCGTAAGTCGGGCATGTCCCTGTGCAGGAGGAATATTCAAACATAGGCACAACTAGCATGGGGATTGTGTGTATATATATATGGTTATGTTGAACTGATAGCATATACATGCTTCTCCCAAGCCCGCCTGTAGGAGGACAGGCCCAATGCAACGCCCCGATCTGAGGGTGGGACGCCCCCGATGTGAGGGGGGACACCCCTGGCAGCCCCCCTACCCAGACACGTACAATGTTTGGGTTTTCTGCAATCTGGGCCTCCAGAAGTCCTGGCCCTGGAAAAACCAGAAGGTGCCCATGCCGCTACGCCCCGGACCTCTCCTGGGGTGCGTTCTGACCAGGACTTCGAGGCACACCACGCCGCAGCGACGAGGGCCTTCCGGAAGGCCCCCCCAAGGGGAAAAGGGGCGAAGGGTAGCGGTATGGGTACCTTTGCCTCCTCTGAACCCGTCCTCGTCCTCCTCGTCCTCCTCTCTCCTCCTCCTTCTCCTCCTGCTCCTGCTCCCCCAAGGCCTCCAAGCCTCCAAGGCCTCTGGCTTTCCCCGCGCGCCGCGCCCCGCGCGCCGCG